CATCTAAAAAAACCACCTGCTTCGGTTTGGGCACACGAGCAGTATCTCAGCCTACATAAAAATCGGATGATTTATATGGCGCATATCTATTTTTTGCCGATTTTTGTAAGGGCTGGAATATTGCTTGGGTGCCCAGACTGAAACAGATAGTTTTCTTTGGGGTTCACACCCAGAAACTTCGACCTAAAGGTCTAATCCACAAGGCAGTGGAGCAACGTAAGGAGATGCAGTCACATGGTAGTCGGTAACCAATAATAGGTTCATACGCTACTTGTCCCTTCAGAGTACTGAAGCCCATGTTCACAAGTGGTTTAGAATCAGGATTTTCTAACTCCCCTAGGTGGACTCTCAGTGACCGCCAGCCTAGTTAAAGCTCCCGGTATTCGCTTTTCGTCTCCTCAATTTCGTAAACAACAGTAATGCCACGAGAATGCAGTGAATAGGACTTCTCTGGCAGTGGCCGTATACTCGTGGCCATGTGTGAGCATTTCGAGAGAGTGAACTGACTCTTCCCACTCTCAGCTGTACCAGGGCATTTGGAGGCTCGTAGTTGAGAGGTATTTTAAACACTCAGTTTTTATATCACAAATCAAAATTAAATGCATTAAATTAATTGGTACCTGATCTGATATGTTCACTCATTTATGGATTAGTTTTTTTTCTTAGTTGAATTTTTGTTGATTAATCCGAAATTAAATAATTGAATTCATGACTTAATTGAAGCTAGATCACCATGGGAAGCCTGGAAGCATTGGACGGCCGTTTCGTTTTAAAATGGGACTCTTCAGAATAATATAAATGATTGGTTAGATTGTATTCAAATATTTTATTGAAGATTTGATAGTCAGTCACTCAGTAGCAAAGTAGAACTTCGTACGTACGTACATCAGAAGAAGTATAATCCAGTGAAATAAATTTGGAAAGAGGAAAAAGAAAGGGACATGAAGAATTCAGAAGATTATAATTTGGAAGAGCACAAAGAGTGTATGCACTTGCGTCATTGCAAACGATTTTGAGCCATGTCATTCAGGGTCTCTAACCATCGGTTGTTATCATCTCGCGGTAGTCTACATCTACCAACGTGACTCAGTCCACTTGTCAACGACTTCATGGATTTGTGCCATGTTTTATTCTGGCCGCCCCTAGCTTTCTTCCAACCTACTCCTACATCGTAAAACAGATAGTTAGATATACAATTGTGAAGATTTGGTAGTTCACATAAGTCACTCAAATTCTTAGTGTTGATCGACTGAAATAGTTATAGGAAAATTTTGTTCGTTAAACTCATTGAAAGTGATTTAAATATCAAATAGTTTTCAGTTGTTATTTATTTCTGATTGATTTTCATTCACAATTAATTGCTTTGAACTAAGAAGCTTACATCTTTAAAATTTTGTTATGTAACTATATCTTGTTAAACTATTTAGACTTTTGTTGTATAACTCTCTGTTATTTAACTTGCTCTCAATAGAACCTCTATACAGATACATTGATATAGGCGAATATTTGTCCCAACGTTTGGTCAATAGATTAGTATTCACATAGATTTAGACGAAGAAAAGAACCAATTTGTACGATATTTTGCTTTTTTTCGCATCTCTTGTGATAGGATAGATAGAATCAATTCTGAGTTTTTTAAGATAGCTCGTTTAATGGATATCAATAATCCTATAATTTCTGATCAATTCTCCTTTATGGTAAAAGATGTATTATTTATCAAACAATAAAACATCAGTACTTATTGGTAGCATCAGCATTACTCATTCAATACGTTCTGGTGATAGAAATTGACAAGATTACTAGTTGAATCTATCTATTCAAATGTAAAACATTTTGATTTATTATGTTTTATTATTAGTAGTCTACCGAATTCAAATATATTTAATGCCGGCTTGCTCTATGAAATGAAACGAGACGCCTTTCATACTAATTAAGATATGTCAGTAGGTGAAGTTACATGAATCACCTCTCGATTGACAGTTATTTAATTGTGTATGATGTTTGAATTAACAGTTATTAGTTTTGGCACAACTTACTTATTTAGTTTCTCTTTTTGTATTCTTCTACTGACCTGTCTACCATCGATAGTATAGTCAAAATATGAGGGTTATCAGTCTGAAGTAAAGATAATCATTCATTTGAGAGACAGAGAGAGATTTGTTCCTTAGCTATTTTAATGAAATGATCAGAGATTTATATTAGTAGTGTAATGATATAATCATTCAAATTTTATAAGTGAATAAAGGGACAACAACAAATTCACTTTTAACTTATCGAAAATTTACTTACTCACTTACTCCTGTTACTCCCAATTGAGCTTAGGACGCTGCCTGCAGCCCCTCTGGGTCTACTGCTTGTCCCAAGCCCGGATAAAGGAGGTGGGTTAGACATGGGGTTAGCGACCCCGTCCCGTAGAAAACTAACTCGCTAAAAAACGCTAATCAGGAAGAATAATCCAAACCATTCATCGAAAAGTAAGAAAATACAAATCACAATATATCTGAAGAATGAAATAAATTCATTGTATTCTTGTATTCAACTACACAAAAATTTCAAATGTTACTTTGAAATATTACGATAATTGGAATTTTATAGTTAAATTTATGGGTTAATCAAGGCTAGAGCACTATGGAGAACCTGGAAGCACTGGACGGTGGCGCAATTTCATAGATTGATTGAAGTTAGATATTAACACCGTTGGATGCCGGCTCAGTGATCTGGACGTTAAGCGTTCGTTCCTGGGTTCGAATCGATAATTTTAATGTTTGATTATATTTCCTTGAAAAGGCTTGGACCAGATTGCCAGGTGAAACGTTGAATTTACTTCAAATTCATTCGCTTAGATTAAAATCTCAAATACGTTCTTTTTCTTTAAGGTCTCACATCAATTCGGCGCCCAATTATTGTGAAACTATATTCGTTCAAATTTAGACGAAAGTTCTTATTTAATATAGACTGTCAGTTTTATCAGAAATAAGAACTAAACACAAGTCGATCACTGAATCTTTCATTTCTTTAAAGTTTCTAGTTTCAAATTCATTCTCATCTTGAAATGATGCTAATTAAAGAATGATTGGAAATTATAATCATACAAAACGTTTCTTTCGTCGAATTTCTCAGTATTCAGTTAGTCAGTCAGCTACAACGTAGGACCAGGCACATATATGCATCAGTCTAAGTTGCCATAACCTCAGTATCTAAAAACCATGATCATATACAACAAAAGAATTGTACTATCCAAACTACTTGTACTAAACATTTGATCATGTGATACATCCGTTTTTTCGATCGAGAACTAGACTAGATCAGAAGAAGGGTTCATTGTCACATCTATTAAGCAATTAGTTAGTACAATGAAATATTTTCTTAGATTTAGTGTAGTTGGACATGTCTATCTTCAACTATTGAGCACTAACAAGATATATATATATATATATATATATATATATATATATATATAAGCATTTGGTCTTATGATTCTTATAATAATATATTGAGTTATATTTTACAACTCTCGATTTATGATACAACTACTAGTGATAGAAAGCGGTCTTAATAGATTATGAATCAACAGTTTAGGTTATAGGTAAGTGAGATGGAAATTTGTACATTTCAGATTTCTGTCAATACATCTGTGTGACCAGAACAACCTTAAAGAATAATCGGCATGACGATAATTTGTGGACGGACCAATCACGTATAAGATAACGGGTCTCGAATTTTGACATTTTAGCTAATTTCAGTTCATGACTAAAACTCTAACTCTTATTCCTAACCTTAATCATTAAATGTAAATTATAATTCTAATTCCTCACTGGTTTATAACCTTCATTTGGTCCTGGTTACTAGGTGGACACTCTCAAGGTCAGTTCGGCGTCACTCATCCATAAATTATAGTCTCACCGGATAATCTCTAATGTTGTTGAACCAATTTACAGAAAATCGTTTGTTGTAATCTCTTTCACTATCATCTATGGTAACTGAAATTTGTACAAAAAGAGTGGAATTATCATCCTTAAAAAATATTGTTCCTAAACACAGACTAGATTATATCTTGTGATTGTTTATATTTAGATTAGATATAAAATTTTGATGAATAATAATACTAATATTTGTAGTCAATTTCGTACATTACTATACTATAGTGAACAAGAACACCAGCGAGGACAATCGAATGTATTTAACACAAACTTACAGGACTTGTTAATAAAATCTCACAATCATATAGTAAATGCTTAATTTGTCAGATGTCCACCAATTGTCTCAAAATGACCCAGAAATCATTGTTCTTGCATTTTCATACAAATTACATTCTATTTCTATTCTTTACAGTTTGATCCTTTTGTCTGTCTCTCTGCTGTCAGACCTTCTGTTCACGACTAACGTCATTTTACTACTTATATCGATATAAATAGCATACACCACATACAAAATTCAGTCGATCAACATTTCTTGTTATCTTTGATTGTCCACTCACTCTCTCATTATCCCTTCATAGCTTATTCAATAATAAGAAATTAATGAAAACGTATTGAAGATAAATGTTGCCAAGTAGAGATAATGAATAATTATTTTCTATTCCAATAGTTTAAATCATGAGTCAATTGAAGCTAGACCACTATAGAAAACCTGAGAGCACTGGACGGTCGTTTCGTCCTAATATGGGACATCTAAGCAGTGTGCATCCACGATCCTGCCCCCCGCGAGATTCGAACCCGGGACCTATCAGTCGCGCGTAAGCGCCTAACCATTAGACCACTGAACCGGCATCTAACAGTGTTCATATCCAACTTCAACCAATCTAAAAAATTGCGCCACCGTCATCATTGTCTTCAGTGAGCTGATATCTCACAACAGACCTGGCGAATGCGCACTGCTGACGAGTCCCGAATTAGGACGAAACGGCCGAAATTACTAAAGTCTCCACAAAAAAACCTTTCTAATATTTTCTACTCATTATTATTTGTTTATTTAGATTCATTTCAATTCAACATTTTATCATGGTTCATAAACAAATACAAATTTATAAAGATCTTGGTACTTCAGAACGATGTTTCATTCATTTGAAAAATGCATTTCAATATTTAACACCTTTATATACAATTAAAGAAATAAATAGTACAATAATAAATAATCAAAATATACAATCAGATTTATTATGTTTTGGTGGTGGTTATGATTTAGGCTATTTAAAATCATTACAATTATCTGGTTGTTTAAATATACATAATTATATTAAAGAAAATATGGGTAGATATCTTGGTATTTGTGCTGGGGCTTATTTCGCTTGTGATTATTGCTGTTTTGATATGAATGGTCCACTTGAAGTGTATGGTGAAAGATATATCAAATTATTTCAAGGTTTGTTGTTATATATATGTGATTGGTATTAGTTAATTTGTTAGTTGTTATTTGTTATTTCAGTGGTTAAAATCATGAGTGGATGCACACTGCTGAGGAGTCTCACAATAGAACGAAACGGCCGTCCAGTGCTTCCAGGTTTTCAATGGTAATCTAACTTCAACTGACTCATGATATTACCCATTGAAATTACTATAATATCCACAAAACCCATCTGGTATTTGTTATTGTTTTTGCATTCTTGACTCAATCATGACACTGATTGAAAAGTATCCCTATCTTATGAAGTAACTTAAACTGTAAGTTGCAGGTAAATAATGTTTTTGTCAATTTTTCAAATTGTGGGTATTGTTCTTGTTACTAGCCCTAAAAGTTGTCAGCACCCAAATGCCCTGGTACGGCCGAGAGCGGGGAGAATCAGCTCTCACATAGTCACGCGTATACAACCACTGCCGGAGACGTTTTACTCACTGCCTTCTCCTGGCATTACCGTTGTTTACGAAATTGAGAGGACGAGAAGTTAATGTCCGGTGCTTTAACCGGGTTGGTGGGTACGGAGAGTCCACCTAAGGGAGATGGGAAACCCTGATTCCAAACCAATGTTCCACATGGGATTCAGTATCTTGGAGGAACAAATGGCGTATGGACCTATTATTGGTCACCGGTTACCATATGATAGCATCTCCTTACGTTGCTCCGCTGCCTTGTGGATCAGATCATTAACTAAAGGGATCCGAGTGTGGCCCTCTAAGAAAACCACCATCCGGTCAGTATCACTGCCCTCACACAAATCGAATGATTTATGTGATGCATTTCTATTTGTTGCCTCCTTGTAACAATGTTTATGTGTTCGAATAAAATAAGCAGTTCAAATGCAATCAGCAAATTAAGTGCATAAACCTGAAGATTTTCATTGTAGAATGAACCGAATCCTCAATAATTCTTCGATTCTTCAGTTGTAGCAATTTAGGATTATTTTGCTCGTGGAGTTTTCATTGCTTTTCTGAAGGACATTATCAGCACAAACTTCGGGTAGAAGTTTTACCACTGAATTAAATAGTAAAATTTGTAAAATACATTACATTATATGGCATCTGCTGAAATAACAGTTTGGGATAATATTTCTGTGATCAAATGTTCAGTTCAGCTACTGATACATATTTCTAACACTTGAACGATTCAACTATCCTGTAGAAAATAACAAGTTTACATGAAAAGCTGTATTCTTTGATCCTGAAGAAGTTCTACATTTTGAAAGTTAATCTGTTCTCTCAATTGAACAGTTCAGCAGTGAACTTTTCAATGTCTTTCTACACAATAGAATTTGTTAACAGCTTATGTTTTGATATGTAATATAGTTAGGTGTCAATGTTAACTATTTTGTCACTCTTTCTATATACTACATCTTTATTCTGGAGTATAAATTGATTTTTAACTCTGTATTTAGGTTTAAGTTTTCTTTTTGGTTGATAATCTCAGTGTAGTATTTGGTACTATATCAAGTCGACATAGGCTATTCTAGTTTATGGACAGACTAATTTATTCATTCTAACTAAGTTATATCTGCACCTTGTCACTTATTCGCTTGTTAACCTTATAGTAACTCTCCTACAATCGATTTCGATCATGGTCAAGTCCTTTTGTTAACTTAAGACAATGATAATCAGACCGTAACAACTCATCTAATTCTTCGCACTATTATGATCACTAACATATTTGTATAAATGTGTACGCTTTATCATATGACAGACTCGAGCTAAAGTGTTAATAGCTTAAATATCCCTTAATGATTCATTCTTTTCTCCATGTATATATGTACTCGATTCCTGTGAATCGCCTTGATTCGACTAGACTATAAATTCTCCTCTGTAATCGCTTACTCACACATATTGACCTCTGTGCTTCAGATTTGCTTGATGTGCTCATAGCTTTGTGATCTGTCTTATCCACCAATAAACTGTAGTTGCCGCTTCTTTATTTTCTTCTGATTTCAAGCACCGTTAAGATTTATGTAATAACGGTTACAAAGGTGATTGATTCACGAAACAAAGCCACTACAACCTTGACTGTTTTTATATGGTCGCACGTGTGATAGTTAGTCAACCTATTCATGATGTGTCTGCACCTTATTTTTGTTTGACTATAAATATCAAGTCACGTTTAATTAAATCAAGTGAGCTCACTCATCTTCTCCTATCCGTTTCACTTCTCTCTCTCTTCGCTTCCGTGGTTGTCTGTTCAGATCAACGATTGTATGAGATATGCGTATTCTCGTATTTGACTTATATTTATTCCTTTATCCCCTAACGCTATATACAATGATTGGGAGCATATATATTTCGATAACAATTATCATTGTCCGATCTAATCGGAGTCATATATAGAGCCACTAAAACAGTCTGTTGACACGTGGGTTAAGATGATCAGTTTGGTGATTTTTGTGATTAATTATACAGTTGTTGATAAGTTTATAACAATATAAAATATCAGATTAGAAGAGAAGAAGATAAGAAAGATGAATGTGGAAAAAAAATAACAAGACACCTATTTATAACAGCCAATTAGATTTTATGTTGAAACATCAAACTGTCGGTCGTTTGTACATAAATTCTATTTATTTGTTTCAATATTTAAGTTCTTACTGATGTCGGTCAGTGAGCCAGAATCAACGTAGAGCCTGAGATAAATATGCATTAGTGTAGTGAACAAAGTACACGAGTGCAGCCAACCGAATGTATTTGAACACAAAATTATAGAACATCTCACTAAAATCTGAGAACCATACAGTGAATAGTTAATTTGCAAAATATCAATCCATCGTTTTAGATTTCATTGTTTTTGTACTTTCATATCAATCGCTTTCTGCTCCCGTTCTTTCCTTCTCAATCTTCTACTAAAATACATTCTATTTTTGATCATAGTTATATACTACTTATGTGGATATAAGTAGCTCATACCACATTTGCTCATTATGTCATAACACGATGAAATTGATTACAATCGAGTCCAAGTCATAAGAATATCAATGATAATCAAAGAAATCAAAATCTGAACAATATTGTACAATACAAATGAATTTGAGTTAGATAATTAGAACTTTTTCTAAATTAAACTATTCAAATCTAAATAATATAAACTTAGTGAAATCAAGCGTTGGACTATAATTTATGGACGACATTTGAGGGACGCCAAAGTAACCTTGAGAGTGTCCACCTAGTAACAGAAACTAAATGAGGGTTATAAACAAGTGTGATGAATTAGAATTATGATTCACAGTTGATGGCTAAAGTTAGGAATCAGATTTAGGGTTCTCATCACGAACTGACATCAGCTATAATGCTAAGACTCTATTTGTCCAAATAGATAAGTGAATATCGTGCCAAAATCCGAGATATGTTGTCTTATATTTGATTGGTTCGTTCATAAATTATAATCCCGCTAAATCAACATCTTACAATATAAATTTTTTTCTTCTTAATAAATTCTAGGTATTGGATCGGGTCCAGTTTACCCTGGTTTTCAATATAACAGTGAAAATGGGAGTTCTGCAGTTTCTATTCAAGCTGTATCAAAAAAATTAATACCACAAACAGCTACTGTATATTATAATGGAGGATGTACATTTGAATCTATTAATTGGGAGGATTCACAAGTTTTATATACATAGTATGTGAATATATTTTGTATTTTGACTGAGATCATGAACTGATTGATGTTAGACCCCCAGTGATAACCTGGAAGCACTGGAAGTCCATTTAATCATATTGTGGGACTCCTCATCACTGCGCATCCACGATCCCGCGAAAGGGATTCAAACCCAGGGCATTCCGTCTTGCGCGCGAACACTTAGCCTCTAGACTAATGAGTCGGCATCCAACGTTGTTAATGTCTATCCCCAACCAATCCACGAAATTGCGCGACCATCTTCCATTGTACTGAAAAAGATACCTGTCTCTACCCGACACAGATTGTTTTGTATATTGATAAATTAAATGACAAACTAGTGATTAAATCATATTCAGTATTCTACTCTGAATAGTACGAAGTTAACTGATAAATAGGTTTGATGGTGAGACTATAATTTATGGTCGACCTTTGGGTGACGCTAAAGAAACCTTGAGAATTTTGGCTTACATACTATGACTAAATGAGCCAGTGTGAGGAATTAGGATTAATATTTACAGTGGATACTTAGGTTTAGAAATTAGAATTAGTGTTTTCATCACGAACTGAAATCAGCTATATTGTCGAACCTATATTTAGACAAATGAATGAATTGATTTCGCGCCAGAATCAAAATCCTGTTCTGATAAATCTGATTGGTTCATCCATAAATCATAATCTCGCCGGTTTGATAATTCAAAATATTTATTGTTCAACTATTGAATTCAAAGTTAAAAGACCATCATATCCAACTTAGTTTGAACTGCTGATTAGTTTCACGAACACTCACAGAATGAAATTTAGTTCATTGCTGAATTTTAAAATTTGATATGATAATAAATAGAGGTGATAAAATTACTGGATCTGTAATTTGACCATGTTCCTATCAGATGTAGACATATCGAACTCTCTTCTAGTGAATGTGATTTTATTGTTGAAACCGTCAGTTAACTGAAGGTATTACTCAACGTATTTCAAGATATATATGTATATCAACACAGTACTAGGATTAAAGAAATCCCCAATCTAGTCAGAGCTATATCACACGGTAATTTACTATAGTTGCTAATTGATATCACTAAAAAAACCTAGTTTTATTCTATAAAAATGAGTCCTTTTAAATAATAATGATCAAGCAAAGTTCAAATCAATGCCCTTGTGCATGTTAACTTGGTGGTTCCAGTAGCTAGGGATTCGTCACAAGACCTTAAATCCTCTGGCTTGATTGCTGATAGCGTAATTACTAAGAACTGATGAGTCTCATGTTGGAACGAAATATACTTGTAGTGCTCATTGATTTTAATGTTACTGTAAATGAGATATATTTGTGGAGAATAATTGATTTAATTCATTATTTGATCCATTTCTGACCGGAACGGGTAATAGCTTAACTCGTCCCGTTTGATCTTATGCCCTACGATAAATGTGAAATGTATATGTATATACATTTTTTTTTCAGCTCGGATAATGGAAAACCGGCTATTATTGGTTCGAAATTAGGGAATGGTTGTGGTATCTTAAGTGGTGTGCACTTTGAATATGATCCGTATTTATTAGAAAAACAAGTATACAATGTTGATCCTGAGAATAATGGTAATGTTGATGCCATAAACAATTATGAATTTATTGAAACATTGAAGAATAATAATTCATCTCGTTTGAAATTATTTGAAACTTTAATTACAATTTTGTTGAATCCTGACAATGAATCAGTTTTAATGAAATAATATTTATGGTTGAATTGGTTTTAGGCTTCGACTTAATTATCTTGTCTATCCTTTCCTTTTTTATGTATTTCATTATACTACTAAATAATATTCAGTAGCGTGATATCTGAAACCTAATATTTTTGTTTTGTAATTTACTTCTAATCCGAAATATTTGCATATTTATTCAGTGTTTTAATCCATTTTCTTGATTGCAATTTTATATCCTCCGCTTTTTAATTCTTCATCATATGTTTTGTGTGCTGAAACTTTGTTTTCATTTGAAGTAGCTTATCCATTTCGAATGTATAGTCCATTATTCATAACCCATTAGTAACTCAACCATTGAGTTAGAATCTTTGAACGGATTCTAATTGATTAAACAATCTCCTTTTCTTGTTTTTGTATAATGCTGTACTGGTTTTTGTTGTAGAAAATGCACCCAATTATTTTTATGGTCTAAATTCTTTTTCATATTGTCAGTTTCTATATTTGTAATGTATGATTTGACTCACCTTAATAGGAATAATCGGATATTAAGGAATGATGGTAAATCAGTTGATGAGGTTGTGAATCTTCATTGACTGAAATCGTTGGTCCACGTGTTGCGTATGCCTGAACACCGATTACGATGACGCGCAATGTAGACTAATGTTGGAGACGGTCGGAAGAAGGTTAGGCGTAACCAAAACAAAACGTGTCATCAGTCCTTGAAATCACTCACTTTTAGTCTTAGTCATGTTGGTAGATGCAGACTACTTGGTTGGAGTCCGCGTGACTATCGTAACCAATGGATGGAGACTCTGTGTGACATGGTTCAGAATTGATCACAATAGCGTAGGTGTATATATCTTCTATCTTCCCTTAAACTATGAAATTAAAATCATTTCATATCTTTCTTTCTACGAACTAATTCTTTCATCCTGTAATATATCCTTATATGGAATCCTCCTTTTATTTATTACCACCACTGAAATAACTACTTCTATGAAATTGGTGTTTATGTTGTTGTGCTAATGAGGTATGGCAACTTGTACTGATGCATATATGTGCCTAGTGCTACGTTGTAGCTGATTGACTAAATAGGAATAATCAAGTTATTTTTGCTGTGATGATTTACAGTGTGTCTGTGTCTATGAACCTGACTAACTGAGTGCATATTGTGTCCTGCTGTTGTCCTAGTCTGATACTGATACATACTCTTACTACATAGATGCACAAACCAGATACTTGAGCTGGCAAACCAAGATTGAGTAGGAACATGTAATTAGCTAATCGAATCAAAAATATATACTTAACTCATTCATAACTATAGATAAATATCTTTCAATGTGCTTACCTAAAGTTTTAACCAATACCATATGTCTATTTCCTCAGAAATTTAAGCAAATTTTCGATTGATGGTATACACATGTCAGTATTTCCCATTTATCATTCGGTTTGCATCTGATCATCTCATCATGTTGATGTATGAAAATCATACATTAAATATATTATTTGCGCATCGTCTTTCAGATGTCCTGTATGTACTTCTTTAATCTTCTAGTTCGGTTATCGTTTCCATTCCTATATGTTTCCCTTTTCTTTTCTCTTCAATCCAATCTTCTACAGTTATTCCACTTCTGATTAATATCGCATACTACTTATATCTGTTAAAATAAGTAGCATACACTACAGATATCCTTCTGTTGTCCATTCTGCAGGACTTCAACACAGCTAAGATCAAGATTACGTGACTAACCTGGCTATAACTTGAGCATATTTCAACGTCAACAACCGAAAGTAGCAATAATAAAAAGGGGTAGGAAAATATATAACACATTTAATACCTGTCAGACTATCTACTAGTCTGATTAGGTAAGTCACTGTTTTTCTCGCCCACACACAAGAATCTTCATCGACTGAGGATTTAGAAACGCGCGTAGCGTATGTTCAGCCACAGTCTACTTCAACGCGTGAAGTTGACTCGAGTAGAAGTAAGTTAGAATAAAGCTAGGGTAGCCATATTAAGTCACATAATTAGTTCATGAAGCTACTGACAGTTGTTTTGAGTGATGCTGGTATATACAAATTATTTGACTTCATACCATATGATAATTGCGATTGATGGTTTCATATATCTCATGGCATGCGTCACAATCATTCAATCTCTGCCATCCCGTAGATCTTAAGTTCTAAAAGTATCTTACGATATCTATTCCAAGATTCTCCAATAATTTTGTCGAAGCTTATTTCTTCATTATACTACGTACACTCATGCTACTTCCACTACTGTAAAATTCGTCTTAATAATTTCATCCAGTTTTGGTGATATGACACGCCACATTGAACCGATGAACACACACCTTCAACGTTGCCAAAGACTGACTGACACGCTTCCCAATGCTTATCAAACGAGGATACAGAGCAAGAAAATCAAATATCTTCAGGAAGCTTTATTTCTACACTAAATAAATATGCATATAAATTATGCTTAGTAATATTCTCAACATTTCCTTGCAACATATGATAAATGAAGATTCGTTAAGGCTACCTAGTTACTACCTAAATAAAAATCGTAATTTGTAAAATATGATGAATTAAACTAACTTAACTGAACTAAATGTTTAAGTTAATACTGTTGTAATCAAACATTCAATTGAGTAACATTTGACATTTATATATGTCAACTAAACTAAATATCAAAGAAAGCAAAACTGCATTGAAAGTCATTTTATCAAATATATAACAAATAAGTAAATGACCTATATGTTTTAAAAGTTACCATGTCCTATGAGCTCAATGTTGATTTTTTCGTTTATTTTTATATAATTTATTTAAATACATAAACATTAATACATGGAGGCAACAAATAGATATGCATCACATAAATCATTCGATTTGTGTGAGGGCTGTGATACTGCCCGGGTGCCCAAATTGAAGAAGGTGGTTTTCTTAGAGGGACACACCCGGGGCTTTCGACTTAAAGGTCTGATCCATAAGGCAGTGGAGCAACGTAAGGAGATGCAATCCCATGGTAATCGGTGATCAACGATTGGTTCATACGCTATTTGTTCCTTCAGGATAATACAGCCCATGTTCACCATTGGTTTTGGATCAGGGTTTCCCAACTCCCCTAGGTGGACTCTCTGTATCTACCAACCCGATAAAGAGCTAGGTATTCGCTTTTCGTCCTCTCAACTTCGTAAACAACAGTGATGCCACGAGAAGGCAGTGAGTATGACTTCTTTGGCAGTGGTTGTATCCACGTAGTCATATGAGAGCATTTCGAGAGGGAGGACTGACAATCCCCACTCTCGGTCATACCAGAGCAAATTCATTATATAGTCTGACAATATTCAATCATTTTCTAATTTCTTTATTTTAATGTTGATTATTTAAACTTAATAATATTGATTGTTTTATTTTCTTTTTTGTACTACTTTTCATTCTTGTTTTGTATATTCAAACAAACGTTCTCATTCAATCATTCATTGCTTATCAACCTTAAATAAAGAAAAAGAATGTTGATATAAAGAGTAGAATTAATAATAATATTAATAATAAAACAGAATTCTTTTATTGTATCTCGTACCAGTAATAATAATAATAATAATAATAATAATAATAATAATAATAATAATAATAATAATAATAGTTGCCATGGTAACTCATGAATTTCAATTGACACATTGAATACAATCATCCGAAACTATCATTGAATATTGTCAATTATTATTATAAACTATTTATTATCAATAATCAATAATAATAATAATAATGATAAACGTAATAATTGATAATGTTAATAATGAAATATACATTTTGTTGATAAGATAACCACACACACACAAAAAAAATCAATAATTATTATATCATATTATGGTTATAATAAAGTTAAGAGTACATATTGAATAAAACAAAAAAAGTGAAAAAAGAACATTCTTTTAATGAATAATAATCAAAATAAATTGTTAACAAAATATGAAGAAGAAGAAAAAGAAAAAGAACAAAAAAGAAAAGAAAATTATGAAGATTCTTTTTTCTTTTTTCTTCTTTTTTTTCTTGTTATGGTAAACTTAATAAATTCGGTGGTAAACCAACCATTTCACGTGATGCATCCCATAATTTTTTACTAAGTGATTCATTTAATGCTTTTTCAGTTAATTCTTCTCTTTCACAATTAGAATAATATCCACCAGGTACTGGATCATTAATTAATGTACAATATAATGCAGTTTGTGCTCCTTCCCATGGACTTATACCAACAGCACGTAGAAATAACTAAAAGTTAAAAGTAAATCAACATTCGATTTTGGTTTAATTAATTAATATATTGTGATATTAAGTAGTAAGAGATAGTTGGTTTTAAAAAAAAGGACCCCACCCGAGAGTGAGGTGGGTCCGCCCTCTCTCTCGAAATGCTCTCACACGGCCACGCGTATACAGCTTCTGCCAGGGAAGTCCTACTCACTGCCTTCTCGTGGCGAAGGCGTTGTTTACGAAATTGAGAGGACGAAAAGCGAATGTCTGGCGCTTTAACCTGATTCCAAACCAATGCTCCACATGGGCTCCAGTATCCTGCGGGAACAACTGGCGTATGAACCGATTGTCGGCCACCGGCTCCCATGGTACTGCATCTCCTTACGATGCTCCACTGCCTTGTGGATCAGACCTTCAGGTCTAAGGCTCGGGGTTCAGCCCCCTAAGAAAACCACTTGCTTTGGTTTGGGCACCCGGGCAGTATCACAGCCCTCACACAAATCGAATGAGATTTGTGTGGCGCATATTTATTCGCTGCTTCCCTGTACCAATATTTATGTGTTAAAATAAATAAGTAAATTCTTGTCAATCAAGACTCGTCAGTTACGTGTATTATTGTTCTGAATGAAACTAATACTTGTCATAGGATTCCAAACTAAGTTTTAATCAGAGACTTTCCACTGAACTATTTAGACAATCGTTTACCACTTGTTAGAATGAGCTATTTCAAGTAACATATAGCACAGTTCTTGTAATTAATATTCTGATCATATTCATGATTTTAGTTAAAATATAGATTGGGTATTCACTATTGTGTAGGAACTCCATTCTAAAGCCTCAGTTCCCTGAAGACTGTAAAATCTCTTTTTATTTAGTGTAATGAAAGACGAAACGTAGATTTAAAGTTTTATGATAAACGCCTTGAACATCGTAAAATGATAAGCAAGGTGATCAACGGGACTCTACTCACTTTAACAACTATTCTCAATCAGTCAGCTACAACGTAGCACTATGCACATATATGCATCGGTACAAGTTGCCATACCTCATTAGCACAACAACATAAACACCAATTTCATAGAAGTAGTTGTTTCAGTGGTTATAATAAATAAAAGAAGGATTGCATATAAGGGTGTAATACAGGAAGAAAGAATTAGTTCGTAGAAAGAAAGATATGAAATGATTTTAATCTAATAGTTTAAGGGATGACAAAGAGTGTATACACCCCCCCTTCGCAATTGTGATCAATTGTGAACCATGTCACACAGAGTCTCTAATCATTGTTTACGATAGTCACGCGGACTACAACTAAGTAGTCTGCATCTACTAACATGAATAAGACTAAAATTTAATGTCTTCAAGCACTGATGCCATGTTTTAGTTTCTATGTAAAGTTAGTTTCATTTAGTAAGAAGATAGTCATATCAACTAGTATAATCATAATTGTATTTATTAGATAATTGGCATGATATACAAAAATTACACTATATCAATATGTTTGCATTATTGAATCAGTTTAAGTTTATTCTTACTACCAAAAGAAAAAAAGAACAAGATAAATATGATATATACCCTATGGTCTACTGAATAGATTATTCATGAGATACCATATTTATTACCGATTAATTACAAGCTACTGATCATCATAATAATCATAATAATAAGATTGTTATGATATGAGTAATTCATTCAAACTATCTAAAATTTATTCGAAACATTTAACTATATTATATCTACATACCATTGAAGTAATAATGAAGATTGATTATGGTAATGTCTTTACAATAACTGTCAATTACTATGGTTATTATTATATTTTCTTTCGAATTGCTAATCAGTAATCAATCATTATCGAATCTGAATTCTTTTACAATGACTATGTATATTTGTATTGTATATACATATATATCTATCTCAATATGATTTCATTATAATGGAATCATTTCAATGGCAATTTCAATTGACATAACATACACAAATAGACTAAGTTAAATGTATATTGAAATAATTAAAGTATATCACTTATGAATAGTTCTTTTCTAATGAATCATTTGTTTATTAAATGAGATAAAAAGGAGTGAAATGTAACTAAAACAATTCTTTTCCATTGCAAATAATTGTTGTCAGCCAAAATGGATAATGACTAGCAGTGGAATTTAGGACGTATGTTTTATCCTAATTTGGGACTCATCAGCTAGATGTATCTATATCCAAGACTTCATATCCACTCCAGGACTCGAACCAAGTACCGTTCGTCTTATATGTCATCACGTTATCCACCTAGCTACTGAATTGTGATACACAATCGCTTGTGTAATGGGGTGAAGTTTAAATTCACTTAGTGTTGTTTGCACGTATCTTCTAATTGTTGTTTAAGAGTGCAATTGATCACTCTCTTGTTGACATATGTGCATTCTATGTGGATTGTTTCGATATTGCCTTAAGTCACAAACTTTATTAGCAAAGATGATTAGTGGCTAACAATGGAATCCCTGACACGCGTTTCGTCCTAATTTGTGACTCGTCACCTGGATATACCTGCATCTCAGAGTTGATGTTTACTCCACGAAAGATACAAGCGAACGACACCAAGTGAATTGAATTATTCCCAGCACCTGAAAAAATCATTAATTTAAATTTTTGATCTTTTTTATCATTATTTTCAGTTTTTTGCTGCAAGAGAAGGAAAAATGAGACAGTTGTATGACATAACAAAGAAACTCTCTGGAAATTATTGTGAACCAGAAGGACCAGTGAAAAACAAGGAGGGCAAAGTAATCAGCAACATCGAAGAACAGCGAAACAGGTGAGCAGACTACTCCAAAAGAACTTCTGGATGAACCAGTCCCACTGAATCCACCCAACAACGAAGTAGCCCCCACGGACCTCTCAATCGATGTTAGCCGCCATTAATTGAAGAGATTAGAATGGCCATCAGACAAATCAAGGGTGGCAAAGCAGCAGGACCAGACAACATTCCAGCAGAGGCACTAAAGCAGACGTAGCGGCAACTACAAGGATACTCCACATTCTCTTCAATAAGATTTGGGATGAGGAACAAGTACCAAAAGACTGGAAAGAAGGACTTCTGGTCAAAATACCAAAGAAAGGCGATCTCAGCAACTGTGATAACTACAGGGGCATCACTCTTCTTTCAATACCGGGAAAAGTCTTCAACAGGGTATTGTTAAACAGGATGAAGGACTGCGTAGACGCCCAACTTCGTGACCAACAGGCAGGATTCCGTAAGGATAGATCGTGTACAGACAAAATTGCAACTCTACGGATCATTGTGGAACAATCAATTGAATGGAATTCATCACTCTACACCAACTTCATTGACTACGAAAAGGCATTTGATAGCGTGGACAGAACAACACTATGGAAACTTCTTCGACACTACGGCGTGCCTCAGAAGATAGTCAACATCCTGCGGAATTCCTACGATGGATTACACTGCAAAATCGTGCATGGAGGACAGTTGACAAAGGCGTTCGAAATAAAGACCGGTGTCAGGCAAGGCTGCTTACTCTCACCTTTCCTCTTTCTCCCGGTGATCAAATGGATCATGAAGACGTTAACATCTGAGGGGAAGCTCGGGATACAGTGGACAGGTAGAATACAGCTGGAAGATCTGGATCTTTTATCTCACACGCGATAACAAATGCAGAAGAAGACGACCAGTGTAGCAGAAGTCTCAGTAGCAGTAGGTCTCAATATACACAAAGCGAAAAGCAAGATTCTCCGATACAACACAGCATGCAACTATCCAATCACAATTGACGAAGAATATTTGGAAGATGTAAAAACCTTTACATATTTGGGCAGCATTACTGATGAACAGGGTGGATCTGATGCAGATGTGAATGCGCGGATCGGTAAAGCAAGAGCAGTATATTTACAACTGAAGAACATCTGGAACTCAAAACAATAGTCAATCAACACAAAGGTTAGGACTTTCAATACAAATGTCAAGACAATTCTACTGTCTACTGGGGCGGAAACCTGGAGATCTACGAGGGCCATCATCCAGAAGATACAAGTGTTTATTAACAGCTGTATACGCAAAATACTTCGGATCCGTTGGCCAGACACTATCAATAACACTCTACTATGGGAGAGAACAAACGCGATTCCAGTGGGGAAATCAGGAAGAAGCGCTGTAAATGCATAGGAGTATTTCCATCATAGCTTAACATCCTTCAGAGAAGACCATTGAAAATCATGAAGTATGAGACAATTTTCTTTATTTTAGTTTTAGAAACCTCAACAATATTCGACAATAACCTCTAAAGACTAGATTCCTGTGGAACTTCAGGTTTTATGACAAGTACAATACAATTAAACAAGTTAGTTGAGATCAAACAGTACACATTTTTAACTTTAATTAGTTCACGACTTGATAAAATTCTAACTTACTGTTATCACGTTGGTTACTAAATATTCATGAGGTTTTATTAAACAATTATCTCTTTGATATTAAACACAGTCAGTCAGCTAAAACTTAGGACCAGGCACATTTGTGCATCGGTTCAAGTTGCCATACCTCATTAGCACAAGAAGATGAACACCCATTACGCACGGATATCCGTCTCCGGCGGTTAGGTTTCAATAAGTATGGAGCTAACACAAAACGTTGTGTGTGACCGACTTCAAGCAGTTGTTACTTCGACACTGTAGTCATGCTATCAGATCACTAAAACCACCTCTAATCTAATTCCCTTTTGAAGTCCTCACAGAAGAACCCTTCTAAGATGTGAGCAACCTGGAATTGATAATCGCCCTCATATCTCCAACAGCACTCCAAACCACTGTATTCAAAATCAACCTGCCTTATTAATAAAAACACTCATGATTATGTACATAAATTACCTATTATTCTTTTTCTTACCTGATATCTATGATCTCCTGTATTTGATATTTCTGTTCTTACTGCACCAGGATGTACAGCCATTGGTATCACTTTTAAACTATCTAATTGTTTAGCTAATTCACGAACATATAAAACATTAGCTAATTTTGATTGATTATATGCTTTAAATGGTCCATATTGTTCACCGCGTAAATTTAAATTATTCACATCAATATCACCTTGTTGATATAAATTTGAAGCAATTACAATAACACGTGATGGTGCACCATTATATAATAATGGTAATAATAATTCAGTTAATAATACAGGACCTAAATGATTAACACCCATTTGTAATTCAAATCCATCATGTGTTTCCATGTAACTAGTAGCCATCATTCCAGCATTATGTATTAATATATCTAATCGTGTATATTGACGTAAAATATTTTTAGCAAAGTGACGAATTGATTCTAAACAAGCTAAATCCAAATGTTCAACAATTAACTAAAAGTAGAAAGAAAGAAAACAAAAACATTGAGAAATTACAAGAGAGTAATTTACGGTACATTCATGTCGGGAATTGGAAACAGATATGAAAAGGATCAATAACAACTGGAAAGAACTGGATGGAAAGTGTTAGTGGACTGCTTATACTCCTCAACGAAGAGTAACAGTTGTAAGTAGGTAAGTAAGTAAGTAACTTACTCTACATACATCCTGTTTAGCTGTAATGAGTATTTTCATAGTACCATTGTAAATAAAAACGATCTATGTAGAAAAATGACAATAATATCTTATGTCGATCTGGATCATCCATGATACCATCGTGATGTTTTCCTTAACATTGGAAACATTTGTAGGTACAATGTGCCAGTTGGAGTGTCTCTATTATATGTTTACAAAAGTTCATTCAATCAGTCAGTAACAACGTAGAACTTCGTACGTACATACATCAGTTCGAGTTGCCACACCACATTAGCATAGAGATGTCGTTGTCAACTCAAATCCCGTAGTGGTAGAGGTAATAAGAGTATAGGCAGTAATCGGAAGCATTATTGTTTGAAGATGTTATTCAAAGAGTATAAAACAGTGAAATAAATTTGGGAAGAGAAAAAAAAGAGACAAGGAGGGATAAGGAGATTAGAATTTGGGAGAACACAAAGAGTGTATGCACCTGCGCCATTACAAACGATTTTGAACCATGTCATTCAGGGTCTCTAACCATCAGTTGCTATCATCTCGCGGTCCCCAACCAGGTAGTCTACACCTACCGACATGACTCAGTCTACTTGCCAGTGACTTCATGGATTTGTGCCATGTTTTGTTCTGGCCGCCCCTATCTTTCTTCCAATCTACTCCTATACCACTGAACATCGCACGTCGAGGCAGTCATTGGTTGGGCATATGTAACACCTGTCCCAGCAATCTCAACTGGTGAAATTTCACTACTTCATTAATTGATTTCCCATCCTTACCTAGTACCCGTTTCCTAACAACTGCGTTACTTACTCGATGGTCCCAGGATATACGAGCAATGTTTCAAAGACACCTATGGTCGAATACTAGTTTTGCAAAATATAATCTTCTCCTAGTTGAATACGTTTGGTATCTTGTTTTATTCATTCAATGTTGTCTCTGAAGGATTTCACATATCCTGGTGAAACACTATGTAATTAATACTGAGATTCGGGAATGTTTTATAATCCACAGTGGTAGTAAATGAGTTGGTATCTTGAAACATCGATTTTAGTGGTTTCAATATCTGTTGATGTTTTCCCTATGGTTATTATACTGCGGATTATTTTGATGAAGTTTTGTTCTCTGAGCTGGATGGTTTAGTCATGGAACTTTCATCGTTCTTCCAAACGACATCATCAGTACAAACTTCAGATAGATTTCTACGTAAAATTTGTGCTGATAATGTCGTTAAAAACAACAATGAAAGCTCCACAATCAAACCATTCAGCTAAGAGAACGAAACATTGTCAAAATCATCCACCTGAACTATCAATCTTCTCTACCAACTGCAGATTATTTCTCAATATTAAAACCGAAAATATAATATTGAATAAAGCCATTAATAATAATAATAATAATAATAGTAAAAAAAGGCAGTTGTCAGCTAATTCTAGTTCTTGGCTAATTTTATTTTCAACTTAACCAACATCAGAATGGGTTTTTGTGGAGATTTTAGAAATTTCACAAGTTGAAATCATGAGTCAGTTGAAGCTAGACCACCATTGAAAACCTGGAAGCACTGGACGGCCGTTTCGTCCTAGTATGGGACTCCAACATGGAACCAACATCATTTACATAACTAATCAATTTTGTTTTAAAAATTAAATTTTATAAATGTTACCTGTGCTGTTTTAATAACATCAAGAAATGGTTCAACTCCAGGACCAGCTGGTGATTTTCTCCATTTCTCTTGACTTCTATCACCAAATCGATCAAGTAGAACTTCTTTTCCTAAAAATCCTTTTTCTAAATCTCGACATGCCATAATTACAGTACATCCACGACGTGCTAATTCACCGCTTAATTCAAGTCCACAACCAATATTTGCACCAGTTACAATAACTAATTTCCCATCTAAACGACCAGGTAGTCTACATAATCGATTAGTAACTTTAGATTTTTGCATTGTTTAAGGAATATCACTTTGATTGTTTTGTTTGTTTGTTTGTTTTTTTCTATTAAAAAAAGGTAAAGTGAATAATCAACTTTAAATTCGTTTTGCACAATTTTCAAATAACCAATAGAAAATACTTTTCTTTTTTGACTCATGTTACTAATCAATAGAATGTAGGTTTCACATGTGTTCATTTATCGTTTCTATGTGATAACATATGATCATTCGTCTGAAAGATAATAAGTGTATTCTATATCCATGCGCGCGCTTGCACGCACACACATATATATAAATACATTATAAGTAAATGCAGTAAACACATATGGTAGTGATGGTGGTGGTGGTGGAGGTGTTGATGTTGATGTTAAGTAACTGGGGTAATATTACCAAGGTATAAAAACTACTCAGAAGCTTATTGTAAAGTACTTATCATTGATATTAGTAATATAGAAATGTTGCTTTCAATTTCATATTGACATGTCATTCATTTAATTAAAGTAAATTAATAATTGATTTATTGAGACTTTAAAAAGGAAATTGAAAATTGATCTTAGATCTTCATTTTAATTTACTGACTTACTTACTTGCGCCTGTTACTCCTTGTGGAGGAGAATAGGCCACCCACCATCGTTGTCTATCCAACTCTGTCTTGGAAAATCATTTTCAGTTGTTATTCATCATTGTTTACGTCTGCTTTCAATTATCAACGTAGTGTGTTCTTTGGTGTTCTTCTTTTTCGTTTCTATTCAAGATTCCATGTTAACGCTTGCCTCCTGATGAAATTTGATTATTTTCTTAATGTATGTCCTATCCACTTCCAAAATCTTTTCTTAATTTGATCTTTAGATGAAGGCTGTTTTGTTTTCTCGCACAATAGACTGCTACTGATAATATTCGGCAAACGGACATTCAGTATCTCACGTAGACAATTGTTTATAAATACTTGTACTATTTTGATGATGGTTGTGATAGTTCTCCAAGTTTCAGCTTCTTACAATACAACCGTCTTGACTTTGTATTAAAGATTGTGAATTTGATATTGGTTGATAGTTGTTTTGGATTCCACATGTTCTTTGGTTGTAGGAATGCTGTCCTTGCTTTGCGTATTCTCGACTTTACATCTGTAATTTAGGTCGTAATTAAATTATTATTTGTTTATGGATCAAATTTTTTGAGCATTTGATCAGTTTAGTTCATCCTAAATTAGCTTCAATATTAATGGATAACAACGTTCATTAGATCATACTCATACTTTTCTAATTTACTACAATTGAATAGCACTTGATTTACATTAGTTGAATCGAAAGATGAATGAGCATAGAGTAAATATTCATATAAAAATTAATTAAAAAGTATTCAAAATGAAGGAAACATCATCGATGAACAGGGAGGATCTGATGCAGACGTAAAGGCGAAGATTAACAAATCAAGGGCCACATTCCTACAATTGAAGTACACATGGAACTGTGGTGTTTGAATTGACCCAACATTATTTCGTGGTGGTGGGGGGATAGCGTTGAAAAATCTATGGTTCCAATTCGAGATATGAATCATTTCAGTACAAAACCGATATGTTGATTGTATACAATTCCAGGTGAGTCTGTTCCGATTTCGTTTGTTAATTCCCATACTAATGAGCACATTCTAGATACTACAAAGTTTTCATCCAGTACAATGTCGGACAGACTCAGGATGAACTTAACAAGAAAACATACAACCGATTGCAAACACTTATACTTCTATTTAAGATGTGGCGGATGTGGTGTTTGAATTGACTAATGATACTTTTCTACATGTTGATTGCACAATTTCGAATTCCAAATACAGTACATTCGTTTGTGCTTGTGACTTCTTAATTCAATTGCGTTATTTCTTGGACTCTTAGTTAGTGCTATAATTCAAATAATTCGAAACATTATAGGAACTCAAAACAATTATCCGTCAACCAATATCAAAGTCGAAATCTTCAATACCAACGTCGAGATAGTTACTTCTATTGTACGGAGCTGAAAGTTGGAGAACTACCAAAACCATCATCAAAAGAATACATGTATTTCTAAACAATTTTCTACGCAAGATACTCAATATCCATTGTTGACCGGATACCATCAGAAACAGTCCACTGTGGGAGAGAACAAAACATCTTCCATCTAAATAGAAAATTAAGACGACATAGGAAGTGGATAGGTCGTACATTGAGAAAATCACCAAACTACATCATAAGCCAAGCACTAACTTGGAATCCTGAAGGGAAATGGAAAAGAGGAAGGTTGTAGAACACACTGTGTCGGGAGTCGGAAGCAAACATGGAAAGGATAACTAGCAACTGCAAAGAACTGGAAAGGATTGTCCAGGACAGTGTAGGGTGAAGAGTGCTGGTGGACGGCCTATACTCCTTCGCGATGAGTAACAGGCGTAAGTAATTAGGTATTCAAAATGAAAGTATCGATTGTTTAGTATAATTGTAGTGAATGAAGAATTGATGGGGACAATAAATGTATTGTTTAATACAAAATTACTGAATGTCTTCATAAAATATGAAACACCCATACATTATCCATCAGTTGTCTTTTACAAACTTCATCGTTCCTCCATACCTGTTGTTATTACAATTACTCTTTGTTTACATTATTGTTTTCTTCGATTTGATCTCCTCAACCTTCTGCTGCTGGACATTTTAATTCTGACTGGTGTTACATACTACTTATGTCGACAGACATAAGTAGCATACACTGCATAGTAATCTGTTACCTCATCATGAACTGATATCAAATGGAAAAACATTAAAAGTCAAAGAAAATTGAACACGTGTTTCGTTCTGCCTTACAATTCATTACCAGTGCTCAATCACATCTCTATATGGAGTGCAATCGAGAAAATTACAGGTTATATGATGAAGTTATTATGACTTTATCCACTGATTCAGAAGATAATGTTTCTCATTTACAAATGGTATCAATTCACTATATCTTATTTGATCACGATCCTGAATACTATCATATAATGGGTTATGAATATTCAATATTGAGGAAATTTAAAGTTAGATGAAACGACTGTTCAGTGTATTCTTGTTTCCATTGGTTCCATCATATGATGCCAGTTCATAGAAAACCATTTATAAATAACCGAAAATCTCTATTAATTCATTATAGTTATACATCAAAAGTATAAATTCTCGAATGTTATTCAGTCGATGATTGTTATGATGATCATGTTATTGTTATATTGAATTCATTCTTATTCGGATCTTATTGATCAAATGATTACATCATTAATTTTTTTTAAATATTAACCCGTGTCACTTAGTTACCATACAATAAATCATACTTATCATTTATTAATTAGATTATTTGAAGAATAAAATACTCTCATTATACACATTCATATTATTAATTAGATATAAGACTAAAACATTGAAATAAACGTTTAAACAGATAAAACTTACTTACTTACTTACTTACTTACTTACTTACTTACTTACTTGCTTACTTACTTACTTACTTACTTACTTGCTTACTTACTTACTTACTTACTTACTTACTTGCTTACTTACTTACTTGCTTACTTACTTACTTACTTGCTTACTTACTTACTTACTTACTTACTTACTTACTTACTTACTTACTTACTTACTTACTTACTTACTTACTTACTTACTTACACCTGTTACTCCTCGTGATGGAGTATAGGCCGTCCATCAGTACTCTCCATCCAATCCTGACCTGGGCAATTGTTTTCAGTTTTTATTCATCTTTTTCATATCTGCTTCTATTTCCCGACGTAATGTGTTCTATGGCCTTCCTCGTTTCCAATTCCCTTCAGGATTCCAAGTTAGAGCTTGCCTCGTGATGCAGTTTGATGATTTTCGTAATGTATGTCCTATCCATTTCCATCGTCTTTTCCTAATTTCTTCTTCAGCTGGAAGCTGATTTGTTCTCTCCCACAAAAGGCTGTTGCATATGGTATCCGGCGAATGGATGTTGAGTATCTTACGTAAACAATTATTGATAAATACTTGTACCTTCTTGATGATGGCTGTATTAGACCTCCAAGTTTCAGCTCCATACAATAGAACTGTCTTGACGTTCGTATTGAAGATTCTGACTTAGATAATGGTTGACAGACAGTTGTTTTGAGTTCCATATGTCCTTGCTTTGCCAATCCTTACGTTTACGCTCGCATCTGATCCTCCGCGTATATCAAGGATTCCACATCTCTCAGAGTTTCGCCACTAAGTGTGATTGCGTTGGTGTTCTTGGTGTTGTATTTGAAGATCTTGCTTTTTCCTTTGTGTATTTTGAGGCCTATTGATGTAAAGGCTCCTGATACATGAGTTGTCTTCATCTGCGATTATTCGTGTGCATGGGATAGCTGATCTGAGAAGTCCAAATCGTCTAATTCGTTCTGGGATGTCCATTGTATTCCGTATTTTCCTTCGGATGTCTAGGTCTTCATAATCCAGTCGACCACCAGGAGAAAGGGGGAGGGTTAGAGTAGAGAGCTTTATCTGTCTCAGGTCCTTACCTGGAATGCATTTGTCAGCTAATTCTTAATACTTTCAATTTGTATCATGTCATTTCCGTTGCTATTTGACTGGTCTTCCCTGTCTCCCAAATTGTCCGGACGTTCCATGTACTCATAAAAATTGTTGCTGTGTTTGTTAGAAGGGGCATCGGCCTCGTGACTTCCGAAGGAGCTCGGCTCTCACAATGAAGCATCATAGCTCGTTTAAATGAAGACCTTCTTACTCCCATGACAGAGTTTAAATTGTTCAAATTATTTTACCTGGTTAGTGTTTTTTCACGAGTTAGTTTTCTACCGGATGGGATCGCTAACCACATGCCCAACCCTCCTCCTTTACTCGGGCTTGAGACCGTTAATATCTCCAGAATAGCTGCAGGCGGAGTTTAAGCAGATATATTAACTGGTTTATTAAAATAATTGAATGACCATTTTTACAACACAACATAAACACTAAAGTTGAAGCTCAATCTACTTATTTATATAAGTAGTATTCGGTAATATACA